ACATATGGGAGTCACCCCCCTGCAACAGAGACCAAGTTAGTCCTGGTTTTGGTTCCCCTTTGGTTTAGTCCTGGTCTGGTCCTGGTTTAGTCCTGGTTTAGACCCGGTTTAGACCTGGGTTACTCACCCCACAGACTTGGCCACCTGGATCCAGTCGACATCTGACACGTCCTCCACCTGCAGCTCGTACAGACTGAAACACAAACACAGGTCACTGCACGAGCAGCAGCACGACTGGTGGTAGAAGTAATACTAGTAGTAGTAGTAGTAGTAGTAGTAGTAGTACTTGTAGTACTTGTAGTAGTAGTTGTGACTCACGTCTGGATCAGTCGGACTCTGGTGTGTTTGGACGTTTCTTGAATCAGTTTGGGTCCTGAGGCTTTGAGTCTAGACTTCAGATACAGAAACCTGAAACACACACAGGGAGGGCATCTGACACACTCTGACACACACTCTGACACACACTCTGACACACACTCTGACACACACTCTGACACACACTCTGACAAAATTTGACACTAGGCCTGTAACGATAATCAATAAATCAATTAATCGTACGATAACTTTTAATGAGCTCGATAACATGAAGCGCCGCTGTCAGAACCAAAACAGTTCATCTCCGAGTGCCAAAACAATGAATGATGCTGAATCAACAGGAGTGAGCGGGACACGTCTCAACAGACACATGCGTCAAATGCAGCAAAACGCAAACGACGACAAGAAACGTCTCAAACCCCAACAGCCGATAAACCCAAACCCGATCGAGCGACACCACGACCCTAGCCGCTGGGAGAACCCGAAATCCACTGAAATCCCACAAGACGCCAACGCGACACCAGACAGAACAGAGACTCACTCAGAGCGAAACAGAATTCTGTGTCACAGGTTCATACGAACATTTAAATGACCAAAATGTCGAGACTCACAGCAGCAGGTACAGACAGACGAGACACAATATTCCAACGTAATCAATGACTAAAATCACTTTTAAGGACAATTTTGTTACTTAATAATCCATTTTATTTATTGTTCTGGTTGTGTTTGGTTCAGCAGTGGTTTATTCAAGTGCATTTTTGTGAACAAGTCGTCACTGTGATCCAGACACATTAGACTAATCCTGTGTTAAGTCTGTTTTATTTAGGCCTATTGTTTTTGGTTTTACAGTTCCTGTGTTAAATGTTCTTTAGAAAGTAAAGTTTATTGATCTTTGAAAGGATTTATTTGCATTTTTATTCCATGGTCATTATATTAGTTGAAATTGGTCTCAAAATGTCAATATTATCATTTATCGCAATAAATTCTTGGTCAATTAATCGTCCAGCAAAATGTGTTATTGTTACAGACCTGACACACCCTGACACACACCCTGACACACACCCTGACACACACCCTGACACACACCTGACACACTGACACACCCTGACACACACACACCCTGACACACACCCTGACACACCCTGACACACACTGACACACACCCTGACACACACACACCCCTGACACACACACCCTGACACACACCCTGACACCACCCCGACCACACCCTGACACACACCCCTGACACACACCCTGACACACCCTGACACACCTGACACACACCCTGACACACCACCCGACACACCCTGACACACCCTGACACACACCCTGACACACACCCTGACACACACCTGACACACACCGACACACCCTGACACACACCCTGACACACACCCCGACACACACTGACACACACCTGACACACACCCTGACACACACCCTGACACACACCCTGACACACCCTGACACACACCCTGACACACACCCTGACACACCCTGACACACCCACCTGACACACACCCACCCTGACACACACCCTGACACACACACCCCGACACACCACCCGACACACACCCTGACACACACCTGACACACACCCTGACACACACTGACCACACCCTGACACACACCTGACACACCCTGACACACACCCCGACACACACCCCCGACACACACTGACACACCCTGACACACCCTGACACACCCTGACACACCCTGACACACCCTGACACACCCTGACACACCCCTGACACACACCGACACACTCTGACACACCCTGACACACCCTGACACACACCCTGACACACGCTGACACACCCTGACACACCCCTTGACACACACCCTGACACACACTGACACACCCTGACACACCCTGACACACACCCTGACACACCCTGACACACACCCTGACACACACCGACACACACCCTGACACACACTGACACACACCCTGAAACACACTGACACACACCCTGACACACCCTGAAACACCCTGACACACACCCTGACACACACCCTGACACACTGACACACACCCTGACACACCCTGAAACACACTGACACACACACCTGACACACCCTGACACACACCCTGACACACACTGACACACACCCTGACACACACTGACACACACCCTGACACACACCCTGACACACACTGACACACACCCTGACACACACCCTGACACACACCCTGACACACACCTGACACACACCCACACACCTGACACACACCCTGACACACCCTGACACACACCCTGACACACACACTGACACACACCCTGACACACACTGACACACACCCTGACACACCTGACACACACCCTGACACACACACTGACACACCCTGACACACACACACTGACACACACTGACACACACACTGACACACACCCTGACACACACCCTGACACACCCTGACACACACCCTGACACACACCCTGACACACACTGACACACACACTGACACACACCCTGACACACCCTGACACACCCTGAAACACACTGACACACACCCTGACATACCCTGACACACCGACACACACCCTGACACACCCTGACACACACCCTGACACACACCCTGACACACACACTGACACACACCCTGACACACCCTGACACACACCCTGACACACCCCTGACTGACACACACCTGACACACCCTGAAACACACTGACACACACCCTGAAACACACACTGACACACACCCTGACACACACCCTGACACACACCCTGACACACCCTGACACACACCCTGACACACACCCTGACACACACCCTGACACACCCTGACACACACCCTGACACACCCTGACACACACCCTGACACACCCTGACACACCCTGACACACCCTGACACACAGCCTGACACACCCCGACACACACTGACACACCCCGACACACACCCTGACACACACTGACACACCCCGACACACCCTGACACACACCCTGACACACACACTGACACACACCCTGACACACACTGACACACAGCCTGACACACCCTGACACACACTGACACACACTAACACACCCTCACACACCCCGACACACACTGACACACCCTGACACACACCCTGACACACACCCTGACACACACTGACACACCCTGACACACACCCTGACACACACCCTGACACACACCCTGACACACACCCTGACACACACCCTGACACACACCCTGACACACAGCCTGACACAGCCTGACACACCCTGACACACACCCTGACACACACTGACACACACTGACACACACCCTCACACACCCCGACACACACTGACACACCCTGACACACACCCTGACACACTCTGACACAGACCCTGACACACACATTGACACACACCCTGACACACACTCTGACACACCCTGACACACACCCTGACACACCCTGACACACACCCTGACACACACCCTGACACACACCCTGACACACACCCTGACACACCCTGACACACCCCGAAACACACTGACACACACCCTGAAACACACTGACACACCCTGACACACACCCTGACACACACTGACACACACACTGACACACCCTGACACACACCCTGACACACACTGACACACACACTGACACACACCCTGACACACACCCTGACACACACACTGACACACACCCTGACACACCCTGACACACACCCTGACACACCCTGACACACAGCCTGACACACCCTCACACACCCCGACACACACTGACACACCCCGACACACACCCTGACACACACTGACACACACTGACACACCCCGACACACCCTGACACACACCCTGACACACACACTGACACACAGCCTGACACACCCTGACACACACTGACACACACTGACACACACTAACACACCCTCACACACCCCGACACACACTGACACACCCTGACACACACCCTGACACACACACTGACACACACCCTGACACACACTGACACACCCTGACACACACCCTGACACACACCCTGACACACCCTGACACACACCCTGACACACAGCCTGACACACCCTGACACACACCCTGACACACCCTGACACACACTGACACACACCCTCACACACCCCGACACACACTGACACACCCTGACACACACCGACACACACCCTGACACACACATTGACACACACCCTGACACACACCCTGACATACACTGACACACACTGACACACACCCTCACACACCCCGACACACACTGACACACCCTGACACACATTGACACACACCCTGACACACACCCTGACACACACCCTGACACACACCCTGACACACACCCTGACACACACAGGGAGGGCATCTGACCATTTGATTCGACACTGGAGCCAGGAGCGAGTCTGGACTTTCTGGCTGATCTTCCTCCAGGGCATTTTGGAGCAGAGCTGGATGAAAGACGGACCCAGATCTGGACCGGGACTCGGATCTGGACCAGGATCTGGAGCAGGACTCGTGGAGGACTTGAGGACTCGTTTGAGGTGTTTCTTGGTGGCTTTTTTGAGTCGGTGCAATTCTTCCGGAGTCCAGGGCCCACGGTTCCCTCCTGTAATTGATGATAATATCAGTATATTTGTTTTTATGATAATAAGTGAGAAGGTTATTATTTTATTTGTTCAAGTATTGAGATGTGTTAGAATTAGAGCCCGACCGATAAGGATTTTGTTGTGGCCGATATGAAACCGATATAATGGGAGTTGGAGCTGCCGATATCCGATATAATCACCGATATATTTAGTGATGTAAAAATTCACTGTAAATGTTGAATTGTATAAAAAACTTAGGTTTGGCTCTGGTGGATTTTAAATTGTGTTTATTTAGGAAACATTTATTGTTCTTCTACCTCTTTACATCATATTTACAGACAGTAGTTTGACTTAATGACATTTTTGCATCACATTCTAGACACTAGTGATGTTTATTCCAGTTCTTTTTAGAGAACCGGCTCTTTTGGCTCGGCTCACTAAAAGCTGCTGGTTCTTTTGGCTCCCAAGTGGCTCTTCAGATTGTTTTGTTGCAAGCAGGACTAAAGCAGGTCTAAAGCAGGACTGAAAAAGGACTAAACCAGGACTAAAACAGATCTAGACCACGTGTAAAACAGGACTAAACCAAAACTGAACCAGGACTGAGTGTTCAGACTCAGTCTTTATCTCGTGCCCAAGATTAGTCCTGGTTTATTTATTTTATGCTAAACTACAGCCAAATATGCATGTTTTTTTTTTATCCTATGCACACGCAAATTTCTCAAAGTTTTGTTTTTAGCTGCTGCCGCTGTCAAACTCCCACGAGTCTGAACGCGACGTGAAGAGAAAAAAGTGAGAGAAAGAGAAAACACGGCTGGTGTTTCGGTGTGTGTTAATGGAATTGAAGATTGCTGAGAATAAATACTGACACACATAATCATCAGTACGAAACGTGAAGTCCTTTCTCGCCAAGAAAACCAGGGGAGCTACACCTCCTGAGGAAACATCATGAGAACATTAAAGCTCCATAAAGGGTCCGTACGTTCTCCTGTTCCAGTGTTCTCCTGTTCTCCTGTTCCAGTGTTCTCCTGTTCTCCTGTTCCAGTGTTCTCCTGTTCTCCTGTTCCAGTGTTCTCCTGTTCCAGTGTTCTCCTGTTCTTCTGTTCCAGTGTTCTTCTGTTCCAGTGTTCTCCTGTTCCAATGTTCTCCTGTTCCAGTGTTCTCCTGTTCTTCTGTTCCAGTGTTCTTCTGTTCCAGTGTTCTTCTGTTCCAGTGTTCTCCTGTTCCAGTGTTCTCCTGTTCCAGTGTTCTCCTGTTCCAGTGTTCTTCTGTTCCAGTGTTCTCCTGTTCCAGTGTTCTCAGTGTTCTCCTGTTCCAGTGTTCCTGTTCCAGTGTTCTCCTGTTCTCCTGTTCCAGTGTTCTTCTGTTCCTCGTCACACACAGACCTGGAGTTGTTTGTTTCTTTCACATGTTTAACTCACAAACCTGCACATTTACAAGAGTTCTTCTCTCAAACTGAAAACACTCTGTTCCACCTTGTGATGTCATCATGTGGTGATACAGGAAGTGCTCCACTGTGTTTTTAAACTCCACACACCTTCACTAGAATCACCTGGATCATCTCAGTCCTGGAGTTTTGATCTCCACTGAACTAAAGGGAAAAGGAGCTGAGAACTTGATGACATCACGAGGTGGAACAGAGTGTTTGGAGTTCTGGAAATGTAACAGACTCAGAATAAAGAAACAAACAAACACAAGTCCAGCTCTGAGTGTGACCAGGAACAACAGAACAACAGAACATCAGAACAACAGAACATCAGAACAACAGAACATTAGAACATGACTCACAGGAGCTTTAAACACCAGATATAAAACAGTAGATCTCACTGCGTTCCACAGTTTTCCACAGTATCAGCGAAGACGCCGCATACAAACGTACGAACGTGTGAACATGTGAACGTACGAACGTACAAACATATGAACGTGTGAACATGTGAACGTACGAACATATGAACGTGTGAACATGTGAACGTACGAACATGTGAACTTGTGAACATACGAACATATGAACGTGTGAACATACGAACGTGTGAACATGTGAACGTACGAACATATGAACGTGTGAACATACGAACGTGTGAACGTCTGAACGTACAAACGTCTGAACGTACAAACATATGAACGTGTGAACATACAAACATATGAACGTGTGAACGTACGAACATATGAACGTGTGACCGTGTGAACATACAAACATATGAACGTGTGAACATGTGAATGTACGAACATGTGAACATACAAATGTGTGAACATGTGAACGTACGAACATGTGAACGTGTGAACATACGAACATATGAACGTGTGAACGTACGAACATATGAACATGTGACCGTGTGAACATACAAACATATGAACGTGTGAACATGTGAATGTACGAACATGTGAACATACGAATGTGTGAACATGTGAACGTACGAACATGTGAACGTGTGAACATACGAACATGTGAACGTGTGAACGTACGAACATATGAACGTGTGAACGTACGAACATATGAACGTGTGACCGTGTGAACATACAAACATATGAACATGTGAACATGTGAATGTACGAACATGTGAACATACGAATGTGTGAACATGTGAACGTACGAACATGTGAACGTGTGAACGTACGAACATATGAACGTGTGACCGTGTGAACATACAAACATATGAACGTGTGAACATACAAACATATGA